TGATGCGTGGGATAATTCGGGCCACTACCATAATTCCGGCCAAATTTTACATAATTCCAGTAAACAATCCCGCGCGGGATTTTTGTAAATTGTCCATCACTAGTTAGACGTTATGTTGCCATAGAACTGGGGTGAAAAAAAAGTTAAGATTTTAGTTTTAAATTGATAAATAATAAATTTAGTGGCCGAATATTTGAATTTGGAGCAAAATATGAAGTCAAATTAAATTGACTTACTATCGGTAGTCAAACTTTTTCAAATTTTGGGGTAGTTTACAAATGCACCGTAATTGTGTTGATTTTCAACCTAAAATATTAATAAGATTACTACACTTTAATTTAATAATTATAAATTAAGATTCGTACGTACTTCATCCAAAAATTCTCGTTTTATGTCTTTAGAATTATTAAGACTTTTTAGACAAACATCTATTTGCGAACTTCTCTTCCATTTATTTTTCCAATCGATTCCTGTAATATATCCGTCCGTCAATCTATACTACCTTAAAACAGTGCCAAAGTCTCCTTTAGCAAGATACTTTATATTTGCAAATTTCTAATAAATTTCTAATAAATTAAAAGCTAGGATGATATCCTATAAACTACTAACGATTAAAACCAATTAAATATGTTTCTGAGAGATTTCTCATCTCATCTTGTATATTTCACTTTAAGTCCACTTGAATCTATCTTTATAAATGGTGATTTATCTTCAATATCCCATGCAGTCGGTAAAACAATATTATTGTATGTAGTTATTTTTTCTGAATCTCCCATTAGGTTAAAATTCAATTCAGATTTTCATTTAGTGTTAGACGATTAATGAACATATGAACACGATGTGCACTATTTATATATATGTAACTGTATGCAGTTTCCATGCACATCAGCAATCTTTTAGATAGTTGAAGTAATGTTAAGTGACGAATACGTATAATACAGTATGTAACTTTATTGGTCACTACGCGTCTAATATACCTATAGTATTGACATTGCTATGAAGTCTCAGAAAGTCGTGAAGAATTATTGCAGCAGCTTATGTTAAAAACTGGTATTGCATATAATAGTATGGTTTATAAATATAAAAGACGCTAATAAAACAAGGAAAGCGTGCAGCATATAAGGATGGCAAATGATTTAAATCTGTTAACAATATTATAATTTAATTGGTATGAACAACCATTTATTAACATTGATTTATTATGCTATAGAATTTATCGTTCTAATGCTTTTTTATGTATATAGTTTTTTTTTTTTTTTTAGTAACGTGAAGAGAGAATATCTATTCTTTTAAACTTTATATCGATATGTAGTATTGATTAATCTGCGATTGTTTGATGTCCGACTTAATCACAAGTATTTGACTGTCTAATTTTTGTTTGTTTGTGCCGAGCACTAGTATATAGTAAGGGAGCTAACAGAAAAGAGTTCATTACCCCCTTATACCCCTTTACCTCTTTTATCCCCTCTAAGAGGGGGGTAAAAGAAGTAAAGGAGGGTAAAGGGTGAGTATGGGGTAAAAAGGGGGTATAAAGGGGGTAGAGAGATATGAACTCTTTTCTGTCAGCTCCCCAATAAACAGTATGATGTTTGTCTTCTAAGTTTATAATTAATTTTCATTAGTGAAACAAAAAAATTTTTATTGATCAAAATATAAAAAAAAAATTTCCAAAATCTGTCTAACTAACCCGGCCGAGTAGGGTTGGCAATTTGATTATCCAATGAAAAAAAAAGTCCTAATGGAGTTCAATGGACAAGTATTCATTGGGCTCTCCACTGGTTCCATTGACATCATTGCCAACTCCGCCCGCCAAGACATATTGTGTGGCTTTATTGTTCTTTTGTATTACATTTCACAATCGACAGCCTTAAATTGCGTTCTTCCAATCACATACCCCACCCAGTTAACGATTCACCTCTCCAAATTCTCCTAACTTAATATATAGAAAATGAATTCAAGCACATTCGAAACTGAACAACTTTTACCAACAGGAGAGGAAAATAAACATGAAAAACGACACGAACTTCAAGATCGAACCAAAGAATTTCTCCACTCCCGTCGAACACATTTGTTCATTCTTTTCTTGGTCTTCGCAGATTTCCTCTGCGTTCTGACAACGATTGTGATCACATTTCTTTGGCCAGAAATAGAGCGAGAAGAACATTACATATTTGAAGTTTTATCACTAATTGCTTTCACTATCGATTGTGTCTTTATTGTTGAAATTTCCTTGCATCTCTTCGCGTTTGGACTAAGCTATTACTTTAAGGGATCCAATTGGTTTGTTCATTTATTCGATGCTACTGTTGTTATTGCAACATTTCTCTTAGAGATATTTTTAAAAGGAAAAGACAGAGAGGCTGCAGGACTGTTAATTATTTTTAGGTTATGGAGATTGATTAAGATGCTTGGTGCTGTTGCAGTTGGTATGGGCGAATATTATGATGAACGATGTGATAATTTGAGAAAAAAAGCAGAAGAATTAGAAAAAGAGTTGAGCATAGTTTTGGATGAGGTTGAGAAAATTGCCAATGAGGATATGTGGGATGAGAATAGGAGAGCAAGAGTTTTTCGTAGAACTTCGGTTGGTGGAAGCAAAGAAAATATTTCTGTTGATGTTGTACATGAGTAAATTTATGGTTGATTCTTTTTATCACTTTTATCATTTGTATTATTTATTTATCATTATGCATTTTATCATTATGCATTTTATCATTTTATCATTACACAATTTTGTTATGTAAATAAAACTTACATTTAGTAATTTAAGTTTTCTGTAAGTAAATTTTGTGCTGCAGTTAGACCTCTCTAAAGCAACCTCCCTAAATGCAATACTTATAAATGCAACCTCAAGCTCTGGCCCAAGTATATTTCTGACCACCATAAATGCGATGTTCTCATTGTTCTCTAAATGAATGCAATCAAAAGTTTGGTCCCAATGTGTTACATTTAGGGAGGTCTGACTTTGTGATATTTATTTAATTAAATGATGCATTAATGGCCAAACTTTTATAAAATATTAAGGGAATTCTTTATCTTATTAAACGTTAATTCGAACTAGATTCTGCAAGTGCTAAGCACAATGTTATTAATGCATAGTGACGAGTATAGGTATGTGTTAGCTGTATCGTGCCTGGTACTTGCAAAACCTTAATTATGATGAGATCTTATCAGCAATTAAAGATACGCAGATTTAACGTTAATTACGCTATTGACGACTAAGCCGGCTAAGTCCTATCTTTGTGATTTAATCGATGAATAAAACTCATCAACTTAAAAGATATTACATTCCTTCTCAACGCGTTAATTTTTTTAAAAAAAAATTAGTCGCTGTCGCTCGTCTTATAATCCTTCATATCAAGATTATGCGCGAATGCCTTTTTCTAATGATTCTTTCAAAAGGCACATATAAAATTTAAACGCACAGAATCACAAATAAGAAACCTGTACGTGCGTACACACATGAGATAACGATATATAAATGATTTTCAATCAAGAAAACAAATCAGTCAGGAGATTACCAGTATTTGAATGTTATTCAAGCTCCCGATGATAGATTGTAACCTTCCCTGTTTGGTTGCTCATTTACTATGAACGACTGTATCGTCCACATGCTTTATCCATGTGCAGCTTATTCCGTTGCTTCACAAAGCACATACGTACGTACCTATGAAAGTTGTCTAGTGGTTCGTGCAAACATTTAATATAATCACGACTTCGAAGTGAAGTTCCAATTAGACATGCAGCAATAATATATCGACCAGTGTAGTTATCGTGATTCAATACTGCAATATGTGGAATACAAGAAATCTAAAGATACGGTATTATTAGAGTTAATCTATTTTCATTTTTCCGGATAAACCACCAAATCACACTGCACATTAGTAATGTATAATTTTTTGAGCCTCTATCATAAATCTGTTGATTATATGTTATATGAGGTGCGCGTTATTTTGACGCGTTATTATGAAATTAAGTATATATACTATCTTTAAAGAAACTCGAATATCCCGATCGCTACATTAAGATCACGGAATACTACTATTCAAAAACGTTGTTGCTCAATTCCCCGAAAGTTATTTACCCGTCAACTGACACCGCAATGCCGATTTTTTCGATAAGACATATATTCGACATTACATATTTTTCGACAATACTTTTCTTAGACAAGACATCTCCTCGACAATCATTTCTTCGACATAAAATTGGCCCGATTTAGCCTGATTTAGAGTTAGTGTTGGTTAGAATTATATGTTGGGAAATGATTGTCGGGAAATGCCTTGTCTAAGAAAATTATTGTGGGGAAATGAGTTGGCGGATAAATAACTTTCGGGGTCGTGCCGTAACCATCAAAGATCCATATGTGTACAAGCTTCTACTAATAAACCAACAGTTCGGTTACTTTTATCATTATTACTAACACTGTATAATCTTATCGTTTTATATCCACTTTTAATAAATAAATAAATGTATATATAGCTATATATAAAATTTAATATATAATAATTAAATGTTGTTGTATTTTTTCTTTATTTAAAGATATATATAATTGACAGCATATAAACCGTATCTAATATAAAATATTTATCATAATAAAATTTTTAAATTAATGAATTTTGTCTTTTCGCTTAACGCTAAAAACTTCACATTCTTCCATTTCAAACCTTCCACTACCCCAAGTAATGGCTTTATCATAATCACAAACTTTGCAAAAACAAACTCCATCATCTCTAATTTGTAAATCGGTTCTTCCGAAAGAAGGTCTTGATCTACTTAACTTAATAGCATTTTTTCCATAATATATATATTTTGAACTAAACATATAAGGATAATAACCTGACTTAGGCCTGCTAAAGTCCGCAAATTTTTCATCTCCACTTGGATCGCATAATGAAAATATAAATGATTCATGATCATTTACAATCTTAGATAAATTTAATGGCGGTGATTGCCATGATTTTGATGTGAAACCACCAATTATTTGTGATGAGAGTTTTAATTTTATAATAGTGAATGTCGGGTTTAGGCAATTGTCAACACATTTATGAAATGCCTTAGTAGAAAATCCATCTCTACTCGCTCGATATAAAAGTTGAAAACTATAAGGAATTGATGATGGTTTTTGAAATTTTAGGTTTGTTCTAACTTGCGAATTTATTGATGGTTTATGCTTTATCCAACTTGCTATCAAAGCAGCATGAGAAATACTAATAATATTTGAATCTATAAATGCCGTTCGTCTCGGTCGCGTCAAGCGAGGAAACGAACCGTCACTATTTAATGTATCTTCGGAAGAATTGATACGTGGTGGACGTTGTTGTTCTGGCGAAAGAAACCTTTGAAAAGGTAATACTATCCTACAAAAATCATCATTTGAAATGTGTTCAAATCTTATTAGTGGAATACAAGGTCCTATGGTTTCGCCGAACAAATTCATTTCTTCCGATGTCCACGATGATATTTTAGGTCCTAACGAAGGGTTCTGTCCAATTCCCCAAGAAACCACATTTTTCCAAATCTCTAATTCATCCATTTGGGCGTCCTCTTTTTTTAACAACCATATTAAAACCTCTTTCTCCAAATGTTTAATGTTCTTTGGATTAAGTAATAATCGAGGTTGTTGACGTAATACTCCAAGTACGTATTTTCGTAAAATGTCCAATGATGGTATTTTTGTTGTAGTTTTATAAACAAGTGCGAAATTATCCCGAATCCAACCTGACTGGTTTTTAATTAAATATTCTTGACCGGGAGTGAGCAATTCTTGAATTCCTAATTCTTCAAGAGCTATTAATCGATCTAGGGTGTTTTTTCCATCATCCTGTCGACATCCAAAAGTCTTCCAACCGTCTCTAATATAACTATAATATGTTATAAAATTAATAATTAAAAGAGGTTAATAGAATCGTGAATTGATAAAATTCTCTAAAAAAAACAAATATGTAAGAATAATTACTCTAGAATGAAATAAAAAACTTCTGGAGAAATAGATGGTAAATTAATCGCCATCAATCCATCTTTTGTTTTTGCCAATTTATCATTCAAATGGGTGCGAAAGTATTCACATCGATCTTTTAAAATTTCCGAATTTTCTTTTATTGTTGCTGAATTTGGTGGGTTACCAACATGTATAAGTACGTCTAATTTTTTTGGCTCTTGAATTTTGGGCAAATCCAGTGTAATTTCTTCAAGATCCATTTCGTATTTTAAATGCTGTGTATAAATTAACAAAATTCAGTTGTACAGACATGCCAGCCAGAAAAAAATAAAAAAGAATAGAAATCCTTTTTTACATCAAAAATGAATCAAAATGATGTTATATACAAATCCATTTGTTTATATACTATTTATTGGCGCAAACAAAGGCACGGATGGTAACAAATAACCATGAATTAGCCAATCGTTTATATAGTTGTTTAAAATATATGCATGTGCAAAAACCATGTGCACAAAATGTATTCATGTACCTCAAAAAAATCTTTATAACGAAAAAAATTCAAACGAACTATTCAATTTGAACTTCTGGCGTGAGTTTTATGCACATGTGATTTTTAAAATTCAATTTCCCTTGAAAAGCGCTTTCTAAGTTTTCACGTGACAATTTGAAACCTTAAAATATAAATTTTACGGACATGCCCCCGGCAATTTACCAAAAAATATAAATGAAAAGAAAATCATTTCCATAATTTATAGAAGTTATTGATGCTAAAAAAAAATCGAAAAAAATTACCAATAAAGATATTTGTTATTCTCCATTTAAACATTAATGGATCCGTTTAAAAAAAATTGGAAGTTGTATTTTATAAGGTACATCTTCTTGCTGATGTTTTCCAATTATGAGGGAATACAAGTACAATCCGTACGTCGAGTCCGTTAAATAGTTTTGCACAGTATACGTACGTAAAATGCGATTCTATATTTAGTATATATTACATATATATTTCGTATATATGAAAGAATAGGCCCATCATGCAGGATGCTCTAAGTGCGTAAGTACGTACCTCTAAATTTGACATATACAACTTGAAAGTTAACCGCAATGGTTTTGTTTATCAATCCTATTACTAAAAAAAAAATTACGTTATTATATAAAAGGCAATAAATTATAGAAAAAAAATTATTTATACATTGTGTATATACACGGGGTATTAACATTAATTAATTGATAATAATTATAACCAAAATTAAACTCGATTCAAGGTTATGGTAAGGGTTAGCTTTGGGATTGGAAAGAGCTATAGTTTATGCTAAAATTTTGCAAGGAATATTTTTTGTTAGAGCCCAAAGAGTGGTCGTAAGCAAAATTTTGTGTTATCATATGTACCCGTGTTTATACGTACACTAATGTACAAATACCTAGCAATTTCCTAAATTATATACGATTTAAGTTTGTATAATTCCATCATTTAAACTATTTTTAGGAAATTTTTTTTGAAAATTTGAAACACATACAATATACTGTTAAACCTCTCAAAACCGATATGCATGATGGACAGGTTTTGTATCAGGATTATCACATTGTAAACTATTAAACTTATATAGCGGAAACGAACTTGGTAGATTAATCTTTTATCAGAATTGACAGATTATCGATTTTGTAAGTTTTGGAATCGACGAAAATTATCTAATCAATTAGTTGGGAGGCTTAATAATATATTATACAGTATATATTGATAATATAAAAAGGGGCATCCATAAATAACGTTATAGACCCCTACATAGGACCTCATGACCCCCTCAACTATATAAATAAATTTTAAAATCCATTAAGTTTATATATAAATTTTTACAGAAACTTATATATTTCGTGACCCAATGGTCCAAATTGGATACTTTTGGTACCATTCGATTCATCTCATCGAGATAAATCGAATGGTACCAAAATCATCCAATTTAGATTACTAAATCACAAGATAATCGCGTTTTCATAAAAAAATTATATTATTTTTTTAATCCTCTCTATTCTATTAGAAAAGTTATTTTTTTAAGACCCTACCCTTTTTGTATAATATTATTTATGGATGCCCCTTATTAATATTATAAAACTTTAGATTAGATTATTTTTCTTTTTGTTTTAAAATATTATCTTTAATAGAAGCTTTATAAATATTCTAATATTTAGTACAAAATAAAAATACAACTAGCTACATATACAACTTTTGGTTGTCTAATTTAAGTTGTCTATTTGAAGATTTTATACTAGCTATTATATGTAATCTAACTAAAAGTTATTTATTTACAAGTAGTGTTCTCCAATAAACCTTGCTAAAAATTGCTAATAGCTCATTAAGGCTTATTTAGTTTTTATATTATATAATTATAAAAATATCACTTATTTGTATAGTTTATAATATAAACTATACAAATAAATAATATTTTTATATATTATATGAGTGTCACCAAGAAAAAATAGATACTTTGATCTATCAGTTTATTATATTTGTCTAAATGGGCTTTTACTATATAGTTCCAAAATTAAGCACCCCAAAATTAAGCACCATTAAATTTTGTAAAATATCTGAAAATAAGCACCTCCATGTTTTTATATTGTTTTTGCATTTCTAACTTTGCATTAATAGATTTAATATATTATTTATTTAAATTATTTAATTAAATTATACAATTATATTATACAATATTTTTTTTTTTCTTTGATAACCTTGCACTAATTTATTAGAGTTTTTGTAATTTACAAAATTAACTATCTAATTTATGTATTAGGCAAC